AATCAAAAGAAAAAAATACATATGATTATTTTGTGCTTTACAATGAAATTGAACATTATCATTATCAGTTGCATTTTTCGATTGCAGGTACATGTTTCTAGGGGATTATGGGGACCAAGCAAGGATTGACCGTGTCTATATGGACGGAAGTCATTTCTTGACACTTATTGATACTAGAGTGTATTGGCCGAATGGTATCTCCCTGGATTTTGCAGCTCAGCGAGTGTATTGGGTGGATGGCAAGTTGGATATTTTAGATTCGGTGACTTATGATGGCTTGAAAAGGTAAGTTATTAAAATATACAGGTCTCCCTCTAATTAAAAACCGCTCTAAAGGCACCTCCAATTAACAACCATTTTTCTATGGTCCCAAATTACCGAAATGTCTTTTATCTTCATTATTCTAATTAGAGATGAAAGCTGCTAAAGACCATGGGAACCCTGGTCCCAAAAATGGTCTTTAAATAAAAAAAAAGAGGGAGATCTTTATTCACATCATATCCATTAGCCATGTTGAACACCCATTTTTTTTTTTCATTCATTCATATAATTGACTATGTTTTTTTTGCTATTTTTTTTAGATAATAGATCTAGACATATAACAATATACTACAATATTTATTATGCTAAGTAAATACCAGAATATGTAATATTGTGTTTATACATGTACAACGTAGTTTGAGGTGAAATACTGTAATTCTACTTCCCGAGGTGTTGGATGATTGGGACTACTTCCCGACGCTAAAGTAGTAGAGATTACTACTCCCTTTACCAGGTGGAATTGACCAGATAAAATATCCTATTCTTTAGCCTATAGTTAACATTTTCAAATATAGATATGTAATTGATAGGAATTAAAATTTTGTTTAATTAGTGTTAATTGTGTTAATGATATTTATATAAATATTTTTGTGAATGAAGACAAACAATCTACAGCGGTGGAAGCCAGATTCCGCATCCGTATGACCTATGTGTGTTTGGTCAGTACGCAATATACTCAGACTGGACACATCTCACTGTAAATCGTATTAACCGGTTCAACCTGACCAACAGCCAGAAAATAGAGTTACACCAATCCACAGGCGATATTAGACCGTATAGTGCCAAGTTTGTTCATCCGAATCGACAGCCTACAACAGGTGGGTCATGCTTTAGATTCTATTACCAAAATATATAATTGTCAGAGTTCCTTGTTCCAATGTTTTGCTTACTTTCATTGTATACATAGAAATTAAATATGGATGAAAATATATACAGTAAGACATCCATTTTACATACCCTTTGGTACCAAGGGGTGTTCGTAAATTGAAAAATTTGTAAACTGGATTGGGTGTCAGTTTCTAATACCCAGGCCTAGCTATCCCCTGCCATTGTGCGCCGATAGGATGACGGCAGCCAGGCCTAGCACGAACTGACAGTGCAGCAGTGTGGTTTACCACACTAGAGCCTAGCTGAATTAACTTTTGATAAAAACCAAATTATTTTAATTGCTGGCATTCTTCCACTTAGCAAAATATTATTTTAACTCTTATTCAAACATGTGTATGTTTAATGGACCTTTCTATTGTGTTCTTTCGAGTTGTTAAATCATCAAATTGTGTTGTTTACATGCATTTCGCAATCATATCTAGCATTCACGATGTCTGACCCCAACACTCTCGTCATCGTAAACATGTGCGCTCAATCTGACGACACGAGTGGTAGTTTGTTGTTCTGGTTAGGTTTATTACATTAATATAGTGATTATTATACCAGAAATGGAAGAAAAGATCAAACTATTAATAAATAAATATAACATTTTTTATTTTATTAAGAAAAATATACATTATCACTTGGTAAAACGTGTGCAGTCAGACTTTTTTTTACGGTAATAATTGGTCGATGATAACGTCATCAGGAGCAAAGACCATTTGTAAAATTAGCTATTTTTAAAATCGAAGTTCTTAAAATGGATGCTTGACTTTGTGAAATTTAATGTGTGCTTATATTTTTATGTATCCCTTGGTTATAGTTTCTAACCCATGTGGTTCCAACAATGGAGGATGCTCACATTTATGTATCCTTTCTCATCGGTCGTACAACCAAGGTGTTGGGTATCGTTGCCGATGTCCTAATGGCTTCCAGCTCCAATCGGATGAAAAAACATGTGTTTGTAAGTTACATATACATTATATTATCATTATATTATCAGTATGATAATTAATACAATAGAAATATTAATGAAGATGATGAGATTATTCCAAGATTTAAGACCTTTTGTCTATTTCTAGCAGAAACATTTAGTGTATATTTTATTATAAGTTGATGATATCAAAATACAAACCGGCTAACGTAGGCCTTAAACTATTGACTTTTTTTCTCCCTATTCTTTGTCAATATGTGGCAAAGACAAGCCAAACCAGTCACTTGGCGCAAATCCTGTTTCAGAGATATTGTCCAAAGACAAATTTTTAAAAATCTATTTTATTGCACTAAACTAACCTTATATCTATGCATCAGGCTATGCTGTTATTTTCCCCATTTTCAATGTTAAAACAACAATTTTTCACGATTGGTGATGGTTTCTGCCTGAGAAATATCTGAAATTATGAACTTTGAAAGCTGATTTCTCAAATATTGTTCTTTAAACAGCTGTAGTTTAAGCGCTTGTAACTTCTTAAGGAAATGTCGGATTTAAATTATTCTTTTACCATTTTATAGCTCTCATATTACTGTTGTACACAGTATTAATATTTAAAAATCGATTTCTACGACGAGTGACTGGTTTGACTTGTCTTTGCCACATATGTTTTTGTTCATATTAGTATCAGTTTATTTCTTGAATTTAAGTACCATGTAATAAGAAACAATATATTTTGTAAAGATCTGCAGGATTTTTTGCTGTACACAACAGTGAATTCAGTTCGCGGAGCCCCTGTGGAGCCAGATGCTGCGATCATTGACACTATTCAACCCATAAGCGTATCCAGGGGATATATAGTTGGTATAGATTTTGATGCCGCCAATGAATATATATATTATTCTAACACCATAGACAACACCATATATCGAGTCAGAAGAAATGGAACAGGTAAATGACAATATGACCTTTATTTGAATTATAGTTTTAATATTCATGTACCGGTATGTTTGTACAAAATATATATTTTATGATAAACGTTTGAATCTCAATCAGGGGAAAACAATTTAAAAAATTAAAACCAAATGAGTTTGTTCCAATTATATTTAATTGGATTTTTGTGTTATTCTGAAATCTGTTAAAGTAAGTACAGGAGTCAATTTTTTAATTGAAAAAAAAAACAACCCAAAAGAAAAACAAGCTCTAATACATTAATTGCAGAAATTTCATTTTGTCTTGTACAGTAAATAGAGGTATTTTTTTACAAATATTGACTGAAATTGTTAATAAATACACTTGTTAGGCCTGTTGATCGATTATTAAATTGAAATCAAGGGATTTATCGTCAGTTGCTTCATCAAGTAAGTAAGTAATATTTTATTCCACATATTCAAAATATATTTTTTTCATAGGTTTTCATTTTAAGTGAAGAAATGAAGTAAATATGTTGTACAATCCAGTATAATTTGCAGCAAAAAAAAAAAAGACCTTGAGCAATTTTTTTGGATATGTGCATTATATGAATCGTATTAAATTATTAAATACATGTTTTTGTTACTAGACTTTGTAGATAGAATTTGGGATTTTGATAAATGTTTCTTTTATAGTAATGGTTTTCCTTATCAATGTTATATACCTTCTTATTCACAGACAGTCAGTTGGTGCTAGCTGGCCATAACTATGACATACAAGGCCTAGCATATGATTGGACGACCAAGAACCTTTACTTCACAGATGACACTTTGAACTCGATCACTGTTATTAGGGTCGAGAATTTAACAAACGTATATCAACGAACGCTCATAACTCAATTACGCAGACCTAGAGCAATAGCTGTCCATCCGTTGCAAGGGTGAGTACAGTGTGTCTATTTCGTGAATACTTACCTGGATGAACTAATATAAACCCGGAGCCATAAAATGGCTCAGAGTTATATCGGTTCATCCAGGCAAGTATGTCACTCATAGACCAACAACATCATTCTGGTTTGTGTGATATATGTATCATGCAATAGTTCAAAAGAGTAACCCTTTCCTTATAACCCTATTCGACTTTCCTTTACCAATAAAGTTTCTCCATTATGCTTTACTACTTATGTTATTTATATATATATGTGTGTGTATATATATATATGTGTAATCACGGCGAGGGTAGGAAGGGAGGGAAGGTTATCCAGGTAAGTATCTCACTCATAGACTACCAACATCACGAACTAGGTCTACCAGGCTCGCAAGAAACCCCAACATTCGCAGCCACGACTCGGCTGGGGAATGCGGACTGTCTCTTATACACATCTAGATGTGTATAAGAGACAGGTTGTATACCTATATAGTTGTGATGTGCCTATGTTAGTAATATTTTTTATTACTGCAGCTTGATAGGGTCGAGTCTGCCTCATTAACAGGAAGTGATCGTCAGCAGTTAGAGGTGGCAAGTATCGCCAGTCCATTTGGTATTGCTGTGGACAGTTGTGAGTGGACTTACATATCAGAAATCATAATATAATTTCTATATGAAAATATTGTACAAATGGTTATCCTCATATACCAAGGCATTTACTGTATTCTCTTCTCAAGTCATGTAATGATCCATGTACTACAAGAAATTTTCCCCCTCCCGACTTAACCTGTTTTTTTTTTTTGGATTGTTCCATTCCATTCCATTCCAAAAATTGTAATAATATACAGTAAAACCCCTCCTTTGGGACACCCCAATAAGGGGGACTTTTTTGGGTCCTGAATGTGTCCCCTTAAGAGGGTTCTACTATACGTAATGTACAGTAACACTTTTTATTTAGATCACACTACCTATACATACTATTACCCTGGTCGCCTGTGGAGGGGCAAATGTGTATCCCATTCCTTTGTTAGAGCCACCTAGATAGGGTGCTGGGATTGCGTTAGGGTAGTGGTGGATGTTATCCCCCACTGAGATTCTGCATTTTCTTTTTGTTGTGTCATTTGTTTTTTATTTTGTTTATTTTTATTTTTTAAATATTATAATTATTTAAGGACATGCTCCTTTGTTTGTGTTTAAATTTTTAAAGTGAGCAAGCTTGTCTATGAAACTATTTAATATATGAGCTGCATAATCCCCCCCCCCCCCACAAAAAAAAAAACTTTACTTCAGTGCATTTTACCTTCTTTATTCTTTTATTCTGTTGTGGTTTAACAGGAAGGTGGATTAGCTGTGATGGTACAATACAGTGAATAAATCAATTAATTTGTTATTGCTTCAATAGAGTGTTTACTGTTTAAAACACAAAGTATAACAGAATTATATTCTGCTTTCTCTTGTAGCTTACGTATATTTCACTGATTCACGGACCAAATCAATAGATCGCATTGACAAACCATTAGGTGGATTTCAAACAAGCGTGCGATCTTTTGTGGAGGACATTCTTGAGCTGAAGACCTATAGTGCATCATCACAAACTGGTATTAATATAGTTATTGTATTGAATGAACTATTGTTATTATTGAAATAATAACAATATTATAATAATAATAATTTCATCTTAAAATGGCGAAAAAACCATAATTGTGTTTTTTCAAGGCTGTTTTTACTAGAAGATGCAAGAAATATGAAGACTTAAATACAAAGAAAAATATCAAATTGAAATACCTATATTGTTCAAAGAGAGAAAAGTAAAATTCAAAATTATAAAATTTAAAAAGTGATGTCATGACAATGTATTATAGACATTTATTTTTTGTTCATTATTTAAAATATTTAATCCTGTCTTTTAAAGGTATAAATATTAAGGGCATTGGTATTGCTTCCAGTCTCTTAAAAATATTATAAAACAACTCTAGTGCTGACAACAGAAGACAAAAGTTTTAAAATAGTGTGATTTTAAATTTCTGAAAGCTGATTATATTTAATTTATTTTGTTTATTCAAATTGTAGGTACTACTACATGTAATGATGGTTTGTTTGCTAATGGGGAATGTGAGGACTTCTGTTTTCCTGTTGGAACCAGAAGTCGTGTCTGCGGATGTAGATACGGAAGGAAACTAGCTAGTAACCTACAGGTAAATGTCATTGTGACCATGTTGGAGGGGTCCCAAGCCTCCCATGGTCGAAGACGTCTCTCGGGAATTTGGCACAGTCTATGATTGACACTTTCCCGCCCTCCCTCGAGCAACCGAAAGTAGAAATTGACCTATTTTTGATGAATAATAATTGATGAATGTTTGTATGTTTTGCTGCTATATTGTCCCCCTGAAATTAGCTGCCCATGGCATGCAACAAAATAAAATTACAGTAGAACCCCTATTAAAAATACCATAGTCATTTGCTGCCAGAAAAGCACAAAAGCAACACCAAATAGGTGTGTACTTTCAACTAATGACTACTAAGATAATACAAATAATATTATTAATAAATATATTTATTTATGTTACTATATCTATGTCATTTAAAATGACATAGGTACATAGGTACATAGGATGACATAGGATTATGGAATCGCGTCCGCTGATGACCCTCGAGTGCAGTGTGGGCCCGGCTAAACATAAACCGAAGAAAAAAGTAAAAAAATAAATATAATATTCCTGGTAAAATCTGAAAACAAGTTGTTAAAAATTTAAGTAAAACATTAAGTACAAAGATCATATATATTTGATCCTTTAAACTAAGCAAGTCAATGTTATCAATAGTGGATCCAGGAATTAGGAATAGAGGGGGCCCAGGATGAAAATTATACAGAATGAAGGTCCAGACTACCTTACCCCACCATCGTTAGTAGGGGGATGAAGTTTTATTTATGTGGCACCTTTGGGCTGCACCACCTCTTCCCCTTATATTTGCCTCTGTTTCAGTATAATTAGTTGTTCGTATTTGACTGTTACATATTGTCTTGGATTGTACCATTAGGATTGTGAGGACAATAGCAGTGAGGAGCCGCCTAATTTCTGCTCATCACGCGCCTTTCAGTGTGATAATGGTCGGTGCATCTATGCCTCATGGGAATGCGATGGCGATAACGATTGCTTTGACAACAGCGATGAAAGTCATTGTGGTGAGTTAAATAAATATTATGATACATGCATCTGTTCATGACATTTCAATCCTGTAACCAGGGAGTTTCTTTCGTTCAACCGAACTCCTTTATGGAGCAAATTTCCTCTGAAAACCATACCACCCCTCCCTCTTGCAATGTGATGAAGTCTATTTCGTGAATACTTACCTGGATAAACCGATAAATGCCTTGTTTCCTTTGGAACTTGCCTCTCGAGCATAAAAATAAAAATAATGAACTCGCCCTAGCTCGCCTATATATGCCCTGTGTGAATGAATAATATCTTCATTTCCTTTTCGCTTTTGTCTATATAGACGTGTGAAAGCTTACCGGAGATTTCTATTGTTGTATAACAAAAGAGTTCAAAGTGTTCCCTGTAGCCATGTCCGAGCAGAAGCCTACCTGTTCGATGTGTGGTGGGCCTAGGCCTAGCCCACGCGATGATAAGTACGCTGCTTGCCCGGCGTGCCGCTCTAGCTGGCAGGGTGCGCCATGTGATATTTGCAAGGCGTGGACTCATGTGAGGTTCCAGGCTGCTGTGGCTTGGATTGCCAGCAATCTTGGGCCCAGCTTGGACTCTACTTCTGAGTCGTCCTTCCCACCAGCTTCCAGTGTTCCTAGGCCTTCTTCAAGCATGTTCCAGGAGCAGGTCCTTAATCCTGATTTAGTCAAATTAATCTCTGATCAGGTTTCGCACATTACAAACGAACCGTTGTCTTCGTTGTTTAATTTACTATTTACTTGCTAGAATGCTGTAGCCCCTTGGTATCTTACCCTCCGATCCCATAAGGGCTCTCCCGAAACCCAATGAAGGGGTCTAGGCATCCCCTGGACCCCTGGCTTTTATAAATAACCTCTTCCCCATAAGTGGTCTTGTTTGGATCTGGTTTACTTTATGTAAATACTTTCCAGTTCGTCTTTTGTATCATTTTCTTTTTTATAATCTTGAATGACTCACTTGCTTTTATTCTTCAGGTGATATAACATGTTCTCCACGTGCATTGAAGTGTGGTGATGGAACATGTCTGCATGAGCGTTATGTCTGCGATGGTACCAATCAGTGTAATGATGGCGCTGATGAAGCAGATTGTGGTAAAGTCCTTAAAAACCTTATTTATTTTATTTATTCACAAACTTTAACCAGGGTGGCCCAATCACTCAAGTAGACTAGTCTTCCTTGGGGCACTAGGTACAACAGTTTTCAGATTAAAAAGTAAAACATATTTAATTAAAATACAACAATTTACATTATAAACAATATAATAATATAAAATAAAAGCTTTAGGATAGATTAATAATGTATGTCAAAGAAGGAACAATAATCTGATTTGCAATTTTTAACATTTTTCAAATAATTTCATCAAAACCAAAGACTTGATGATAGACATTTTTGCTATTTCATTATAGACAAATTTTTTCTCAACTTGTGGTAAGTCAAGTCTAGCTGGGGGAATATTAATTGGGACAGAGAAACTACTAAGGACCCTAACATAATCTCTAATGCATTTAACAAATTCTTCGTCGTAATTCGATTGTTCCTCGTTAACAAAATTCCTCATATTAACGTTTCTTCAAAGACTTCTTACCTAACTCGAATCCAAATTCTCTATTCCTAACCCCAGTAAACGAAGATGAGATAATTAGAATTATTTCCTCTTTTGTTAAAGCTCCCAGTATTGACGACTTTCATACTAAAGCCATTAAATATATTATTAATCTCATTTCCTTTCGTTAATGTCATATATTAATCTTGCTCGCTGCAGTGGTGTATTTCCAAATAGGATGAAGCTAGCACGCGTTACTCCTATATTTAAATCTGGCCTTAAATCAAACCTCTCAAACTATCTATTTTCTCGAAAGCCTTGGAAAGAGTAATATATGATAGAACATTTTCATTCATCAATAAACACAACATACTTTTCAACAGGCAATGTGGCTTTAGAAAGGGACATAACACTTCAATGGCTCTCAACGACCTTACAAACAAAATTATAGAAGCATTTGAAAATCGCCATCTTGGAATCGGACTTTTCATTGATCTTTCCAAATCTTTCGATACTGTTGATCACAATATGCTTCTTTACAAACTGGCTCACTATGGAATCCGCGGACCCGCACTTAACCTGTTTAAAAGCTACCTCACTAACCGTGCCCAATGTACCAAATATTTTAATTCTACTTCTGAATTCAGTCCTATCACTTGTGGCATTCCCCAAGGCTCTTTACTTGGCCCTCTGCTATTCACTCTTTAACGATATTTATCTCTCCTCAAATGTATTAAATTTTTTTCTATATGCTGATAATACTACTGTGTTTTATTCTAATAAAAACTTTATTTGATACCCTTAACTCTAATGTTGTCCCTTTGTCCCAATACCTTGCTGCTAATAAACTTTAACTTAATCACAAAAAATGTAGCTTCAATCCTGTTTGGAACTCCGCAATTACTTAGAGGTATTGATGTCTCTACCCATAAAATTCTTATTGACAGCCATGAAATTCCATCTGTCCAATCTGCAAAATTCTTAGGAATTACCATCGACAATAGCCTTACATGGAAAAACCACATACAAGAAATTGAGAATAAAGTCTCCAAAAGCCTTGGTGTCATATCCAGATTATCTTCATTTTTACCCCTTAGTATTCTCAAAACCCTTTATTGTTCTCTCATCCTTCCGTGTTTGAGCTATTGTAATATTGTCTGGGCCAACACGTATCCAACCAACACCAATAAACTCAACATTCTACAAAAGAAAGCTGTAAGGATTCTATCTGGCCCTCCTCCATGGTCGCATTCCTCCCATTTATTTTCCAAGCTAAATCTCCTAAAACTCACAGATATTAATTTATTTCAACAAGGTTTTTTTGTATTCTCGGCCACTCACTCCATTCTTTCAAATCATTTAAATGCCATGTTTGTTCCTAACCACTCCATTCACAAATACTGTACCTCACTCGAACCAGAACTAATATTCGTATTCCCATCCACAACACAAATTATTTCCAACATAGTATTAGGTACTCTGGACATTTAATGTACAATAATTTACCTACTACAATATTAGATGCTGCCTCTTTTAACTCATTTGCCAAGAAACTAAAATCTCACCTTTGTCACTGTACTAGTAGCGAAAAGTTACACTCGGTCATTGTTCCATGTTCTGTAATTTGAAATATAGTTGTCCTGTTTTTTTTTGTTTTTGTTTTTGTTTTTTTTTGTTTTTTTATTGTCTAATTGTTTTTACGATTTTTTTTTTGGTTTTTTTGGTTTTTTTTTTTTATATATATATTGAATTTTTTCTTATTGAACAATTTTTACTATTATTCATTTGTTTTTTTCACTTATTGATTTCTGTTTTGCTTAATCATATGTTATTTTCTGTATCTTTTCTTTGTTACAGGCATACTTGGCACAAGGTCTCAATCTTTTAGGGAATATGCCTTTGTCTATACATTTTAATTTTTATTAAAAATACTGTACTTGGTCCATATTTTTATCTTTAAATTTGTTTTTATATATTTATTTGCATTGTACTTTTTGCTCTCTCTTTCATTGTTGTTTGTTTTATGGACGAAAATAAATGTCTTTTGAATTGAATTGAAAATTGATTTTTGAATAGTAATATTACTAGTATAATGTTCCTTTGTTATGTTTAAACCTGTTGTTACATGAATGCATCTGCAATATTACAATTAGATGTTACATCTTGATTATCCACATTTACATGTGTAGGGTTGTTTTTCTATTTAGTTAGTACAACTTCTTTTAGATTTTTTAAGCTTAACTGTTAGTACATTCCTAACCTTTTTTTTATAATTGTTCAAGTTAACATCTTATTTTGATTTTCTTTCAATTTTATGCAGTCTATCCCTTATATTCATACTCTCTAGAGAATATCAGCAGTAATCCATTTACAGTTATCAGATCGGATACGTTTATGTTTTTTAGGAGCATGACTATTAACAACATTCATAAACATAAATTTCCACATGAACCATGCATTGTTTACAGACATATCACAATTACTAATTATTTGACTTATTGCGAATTATATTGATAATGTTATATTAGTAATAATATTTTATTTATTGATTATTTCTTAAATTAACTAGTTTAACATTATATTTCTTTTTTTATTTCACTTTTGTAAAATTAAAATTTGTTTAATAGCTTTAAGAAATTGATAATTTTTTTTTAATGTGAAGCGCTTAGAGGCTTTGTGCATAAAGCGCTATATAAGAACGACATATTATTATAATATTATATTAGTAGTAATAATTTTCTTATTGATTATATTTATTTCATTTAAAAAAAATTAGTTTAAAGCTTTTAAATTTTTTTTTTCATTCTTGGAATTATAAATGTATTGTTTCTTATTTCTTTGTTTTTTAGTAGTATTTTTTTTTAAGTATCATTAGTTTATTGTTATTATGTTAGTAATTTAATCAATACCCATACTGAAATTATTCATTTTGTTAGAATATAAAATATATAAAAATACAAATGCAAACATAAACTGCTCCTTATTATTTTAAAATTTCTTCCTTGTTACTTTAAGCTCCACCTCAGTGTAGAAGTTCATATTTCCAATGCAACAACTCAAGATGTATTCCACAGGCTTGGCTCTGTGATACTGATAACGATTGCAGAGATGGTTCTGATGAAGAAAACTGCGGTGAGTTTTTTTTTTCCATTATTATCAGCAAATATTTTAATAAATTTTAATGTATGAATATGTTAATGTTATTATAATATTTAGAAAAAAATTTTTCCTAGTTAACACTTGTTCCTAAGAATACTTAAGAGTCTGTAAATCTTTGAATTACTGAATTTTAATCTGTTTCATTGAAGGTTGATAACTGTTTTTGATAATTTAATTGATCATGTTAATATGTTTAATTGAATTTTTGGTGTTTTCCCCAGATTTACCATTATTACTGTAGAATCTTTCATCAATAATATATCAAGCACAATGGATGTATTAACTATTAAAATATTATACCATTATTATTATTATTATTATTATTATCATAGTATGCAAAAGTTAAAATCTTATTGCTATAATTTTCAGAGGCTGTAACTTGTCCTTTGGGCTATTTTACATGTGTCACTATTCAACGTTGTGTCCATCCACTGTGGCTTTGTGATGGGGACAATGATTGTGGCGACTTTAGTGATGAGCAAGGATGCGGTAAGTTAAACAAAGCATGTGATGATGTTACCTGAGTGAGTTAGTGGAACTTAGTAAGCATTTACAAAGTAGACACTATATTCTATGAGTGATGACAATGATTTCCTTTTGCAGAATTTACCTAAAAAAATAATGGAATTGTCCATTCCAGCACTATCATGAGGCTTATTCGACTGGTTTATTTCGTTGACTATTACTTTTATTCAACTGGTTTGTAAAATAGACTTGGTTGACAATGAAAATTAGTTATCCATGTGACCAAAACAAATATGGTGGATTGGTCAGTTTAGCAACAACATTTTTGTTCATTTAGAGTAAATTTCAGAAAATAAAAATTATAATATTTACCCACATGAAGTAAAAAAAAAAATTGTAGGCTAACAAAATTCAAAAACTGGATGAAAACATTTTTTTACAAAAAAACCCATACAGCCACAATCCAAAGCAACTTTGATTATTCAGCGTGTATCATGGTAACTATGCGGCCATTTTGTTTTGTCCAGCATTTACCAGTTTTCTATTTCACTGGTTGTTTTTGTAAGTAGGATTTTACCATTCCACAGGTGGGCGTGGTTTAACGTAGAACGACCAGTTGAATACGGCCATTATGTAACCATCATTCTGCTTTCACTCTTGACCACTACATTACCATTATAACTTGACCGATACATTACCTGGTGTAGTGCAGTTGAATAGCTTTTACAAGTTGCATCATTTGCCTGATAAAATCTTGTCTTTCGTATATATCATAAGAGAAATAATACGTAAGATGTATTTAAAATATTTACCACATTGGGACATGATGATCATTTTTGATCGTGTGCATCTTCTTGTTTTACATTGTTTCTGTGTTGTTTTGTGGTGATTTTTTTCTGGTGGTGTTGTTTCGATTGATTCAACCCTGACAGAACGCTAGATAGTGCAAGAAGAAGGCTTCTTTTGGTGCTTTATGGTTATTTTGATTGTAATTCTAAATTGGTAAAAACATTTTGTGGAAAGTTTTTCTTTCATTTCTCCAGCACCACAGAGTTGTAGTAGTACAGAGTTTGCGTGCAGTGATGGTCAATGTATACCTGACAATTATAGATGTGATTCTGTGTATGACTGTCCTGACAACACTGACGAAGAGGATTGTAGTAAGTATTGGCTCTATTATTCATTAGATATCAATTAGATAAGGCTTAACAAAAGTATCTACGAAAACTAAACAATGAATTAAACAAAAACAGCCAGGCCTATTAAATACTGTGGAATGAAAAGAAAGAAAAAAATACTGTGGAATGAAAAGAAAAAAAAAAAAAAAAAGAAAAAAAAAGAAAAAAAGAAAAAAAAATAAATAAAAAATTATTATTATTATTATTATAATTATTATTAAGACCTGTAGATTAAAATCAACCTTTTGCACTTGTCTTTTTAATGTCTCGGATGTAATATTGCAACATTTGTTGCTGATTTAGTAAAAGGAACTTCACATTTAAAAATACAGAAACAACAATATGGTGTCGTTTACAGCAGACACATTCATCAAAAACAGTCGCTGATCTACCATCTTTACAGTGTATTAACTCGAGCGTTCAAAACAATTACAAAGCGACTACTGCATACAAAACATGTGACTTATCAGATGCAAAAGGTGGATTGATTGTTATATTTTGTTTTTCCATAGCTTCATTACCACCAGGAACCTGCGATGATACTGAGTTCAGGTGCATTGTGGGTGAAGAATGTCTGCCGTCTAATTGGGTTTGTGATGGCCGCGCAGATTGCGATGATGGCAGTGATGAGCTCACTTGTGGTAATCATTATTATGATTATTATAATTATTATTACCTGTAATAACTAAAAACATTTTCATTCTCAAAATTATATAATAATAATAATAATTAATATGTTAGACTTATATAGCGCTTAACGCCAACAAGGCCTCTAAGCTCTTCATATTATCATTACCCCGGTCATTTAATTAAACGCCTATGGATCACAAACTCAAGCTCCCTGGGAGAGTATTCCATAACGTTACAGCAGCTACATAAGCGCATTTTAGCATTTTAACCCTAACAGGTACCCCTTTATACTCCTGGGTGGAGAGGAGCAATGCAGATAAAGTGCCTTTGCCCAAGGACACAAGTGAAATGCACAACAACAAGGGATTGAAACCCCGACCTCGAGGTTGGGAAGCCAAACTATTCCCACTGCGCCAAACCACTTCTTATTGATTGATTGAAATCCTTTTTTATTCTAATGCTCTTTCATTACAATTTAAGTAGTGGTCTCCCAATGGGTTCCTGATTTGGTATAGTAAACATAATATAAATATAAATTAAAATATAAGAACATTAAGGAAACAAAAAAAGAGGTAAAAATAATTTGCAAGGCACAAAGATAAGAAAATATAAAAGGTTTTAAAAATCAACTTGATCAATAGATTGGTAATATTTGCGAAAATTGTATGTACACTACAGAGGTAAAAATGATTTTATGCTCTTAAAATATTTCAAGAAAGCTAAAGCTTCATAGTGTTCAGTATTTAAAAGGAGAGTTTTTAAATCTATTTTTTTCAGATAATAAATAATCTTGCCAAATGTGTACCCATAAAGTTCTAAGTGCAAATTCCAGTGTTTGAAAAAATCCAAACTTTTAATTGCACAATAATTCTAGTGAGGGCTAGCCAGCACAGTATTAAATGGTTGGACACTGATACCAGAGGGACCCAGTTCAAAACCTGTTGATGCTCTTCTTGCTTGTGTCCTTGAGTAAAGCCCTGTCTAGACTATCAAATTTTATTTGCGCGGTATTTATACCACGTAGAATATAAGGGTCCTAATGCGCTAAAAACAAGTGAACAGATGTAATTGGAAAAACAAGGAAAGAAGAACTCCAAGCCAGCACCCAACATGCAGTTTGGGGATACGCGTCCTCATCGCTTAGCAATGATCTATCAAGATGTACCCTGTCCAGAACCACTACTACCGGCATGGGTCCACAGGAGTCTAATCTAATTTACTTCTTGATTTTCAACAGTGACCATTATATATACATTTAAATATTTAAATTACATCTTAATGATTAGAGCAGAGTATAAAGATAACGAGAAAGCTTGTATGCTTATTGTTAGTTTGGTCCTTTGGGAATTTAACTTTTTAACTTAACACATGCTAAAATATACACCATGCCTTGACCATTATATGAACTCATGCATTAAAAACATACAATGTGATTGGCTGATAACTTATCTTTCCTAGATCCACCAACTTGTCCTGGAACGTTCTTCCAATGTGCTAATGCCTTATGTATTCCTGCTCGCTGGATTTGTGATTCGGATAACGACTGCGGTGACTTGTCGGATGAACAGGGTTGTCGTAAGTAACTTCATCCACGTTAATTTCATTCCACGATGCTACTCAGTATGTTGCCGGTGAAAATTCTGACTTGAAAAAAAAACAGGTTGAAAGTGAACTAGTTAATAAACATAATCCAAAACAGATATGGGCTCAGAAAACACGAGCCTGTAAATATTTTTTCAACTGATGATATGGCATGATACATGGCCATAGTCAGTATTGACTAATAGTTGTCACTCGCCAGTAGTTACGTCATTGACCTGGTGAAGTGATATGAAGATCCAGGATGATATTGCATCTCTCTAGCACATCACTCTAGAGCTGTTAGGCTAGGTAAAACCTCTCAGGAGCTAAAGCATTTTTTACTTGGCTTTTAAGTTAATTTAGACATGCAATGAAATAACATGCCATGAGATGAATACAAGACCACACCATAATCATATATTTTTTATATGTTATTTTTATTTTATTTTGTGAAATTTGTATTTGATCTATTGAATTTTGTTTTATCAGCGACACAACCTTTCTCTTGCCAAATTGGGGAATGGGGTTGCGAGGACAATGTCTGTATTTCATTAACCTCCGTATGCGATGGCATGCCTGACTGCACAAATGGAGAGGATGAGAGCCCATTATGTAGTAAGTATATTACTGTACTAGTTTATAATGCATATATTTCATTAAAAATTTCTTTTTTTGTTTATTCATATATTTTGATTATT